TTTTGGTTTGTGGATTGACCTCATCCTTCCTGACCTGACCCAACTCCGGCTGCTTTGTGAGTCGTGACTCCGACCTGTCCAACGCGACCATATTTTCGCATTCTCGCGACACTTCCGGTCATAAGCCCACCTGCCATACCCGTGGCCTCTGTTTCTTTCCTGTTCTGGCCACCGTTCAAACATTTGGTTCCTTCTCTGTTGTCTTTCGCCCCCTCCCCTTCTACCTTGCCGCCGCCGCAAATCGGAAGTGCTGCGTGACGTATCGACCTCATCAGCTTGTCTGTGGTCTTCGCCAACAGGGCGCATTGCAGCCTTCCATTTCGACCGCTGTTGTTCTTTGCTACACTTAGATTGGCTACTGTTGTCGAGTCGCGACTATTCTCGTCGTAGGAGCAGTGGATAGCCACTGCTTCATCGTCCCTAAGCCGGCAAGATGAACGGTAGTCATCTGCCGGCTGGGCAGCCTATGCCGGGGAGTGTCGGCGGAGGAGGTGGTGCTATAGTGAATGGGAGAGGGCCGATAGATATCGTTTCAGGGTCACATACAGGATCAGGCAGTGGACGACGGCGGCCGCATCCACAGCAATACCCGTCCCATCCGCAGCAATATCATCATCCGCACCATCACCAGCACCAGCATCAGCACCAGCACCAACACCAACACCAGCACCAGCACCAGCAACAGCAACAGCCCATGTATCATCACAGTTACATGAACCCGTATGCGAACAGCTACTACCCTCAGATGACCCCTCATTATCAGAATGGTGCTATGCCGACCGCCCACTACATGCCGTATAATTTATATCCGCAACGCCCTGCGCCAGCCTTACACCAACAATATCCTCCTATCGTCTCTTCTACCATGCAGCCACCTCCCCAACCCTATTCACGACCTCCGCAGCAATCCTCCCCCGCTGTCTCTACCCCGCCACCATATCAGACACATGCCCCGCCACCTCAGATCCCCATACCTACGCCCTTAGCTGCACCCGTAGCTGCCCCGGTGGCTGCCCCGATGGCTGCTCCCGTAGCTGCTCCCGTAGCTGCCCCCGTAGCTGCTCCAGTAGCCGCGCCCGCACCCGCACCCGCACCCGCACCCGCACCCGCACCCGCACCCGTACCCGAGACGCCGTCGTCAACACGCTCCTCGCAGGTCGTTCCAGTCCAATCTACACCTCCGACGCCGCACACGGGAGAGATTGCTCCGACTTCGACTACCCCGGAGGTTGAGACACGGTCAACTCGGGGACCGTTCAAGTATCCTGTAAGTTGCGCCATCATATTATCCCCTCAGACCAGAAGCGCCTGCTAACCCAGCATCTTTAGTTGCCATGGCTTTCTCGACCAGAGCTTCCCTTCCCCAGCAAACTAGCAAAGACAAGGAGGAGGCGACCTATAGTGATGTCTGAATCTGGGAAGGTTGAGTTGCCGAGCAATCAACATGCAGGCGATTCGCACGCTGAGGAGTCTCCCGAAGCGCCTCTCCCTGAGACCCCGACGCCCGAGACTATTGCTACGGTGGAGAAACCTCAAGGCCCCGAAACGCCTTCCTCTCAAATTCTAGCCTCCGAAGGCAAATCATCCACCTCACAAGCGACCCCCGCATCAGTTTCCACCGCCCAGACCAGTACTGCCGCTACCGCGACGCCACCCAAATCCACCAAGCCTACCACCCGGGCAGCGGTGCCAGCCGTTCCAGTCCTACCTAAAATTCCGAAGACAAATGCCAAGGAGGCCAAAGGCACTGCGGCTTCCGAGGGAGCAACCCCGGAACAGAAGCAAATAACGCCATCACCGGTGTCCGACAACCCTACTGGAACCGCACCCGCTTCGGATGGAGTGGAACAGCCAGAAGCGCAAACTGAAGCCGTGCCTGCTCCGGTAAAGGCTGCACCAAAATTATGGACTGGTCTGTTCGCAAAAACAGGTCCTGTGGCTGGACCGACCACAAGCACAGGTACCACGGGGTCTGCTTCAGCTGGATCTATCAATGGGGGTGCTGCTGATGCAGTTAGTGGAGCCCCGGCTGGTGCCGGTTTTGCGAAGGCAAACGCCTCTTCGTTGGCTGAGGCCTTGCGGGCGTACCGCGTTGGTGGCAGCCAGAAACTTGCCTTCTTAGAACCTAGAGGTTTGATCAACACTGGTAACATGTGTTACATGAACTCGGTAGGTCCTGTCCTTGTCCAATCATCACAGGAACAGTGATGGCTAACGGTTTGTATAGGTTCTACAAGTTCTTATATTCTGCATTCCTTTCTACGACTTCTTGGACCAGGTTAGCAAAAAGGCCACGTACAGTTTTAAGAGCGAAACGCCTTTGGTTGATGCTATGTGAGTAGTGGGCTCTTCTCATGATGTTATGTTTGAGACTAACGAAGGCACGCATTCAGGGTAAATTTCATGGGCGAGTATAAAGTAATTGATTCTGCAGTGTCCGTTGACCAATTACGGAGACGATTGAAGAACGAAGAGCTTGAGCAGTACGGTGAACCTTTCACGCCTGAGTTTGTCTACGAGGCTATAAGGAAGCTTCCCAGGTTTGCGAGCATGAGGGTAAGAGCCCTGCTACCTACCAGCATATGATCAAATAACTGACTACCATAGCGTGGACACCAACAAGATGCTGAAGAATTCCTCGGGTTTCTCCTGGAAGCTCTTCATGATGAATGCGCTCATGTGATGCAACATTTGGCAGATGCTTCTACCGCAACCACTGCGGTGAACTCATCAGCTGCTACGCCAGCGCCATCCTCCCCTACCAGTGCCACGGATTCCAACGACTGGTTGGAAGTGGGTCGGAGACAACGTGCGGCCGTCACCCGGTCCTCTGGACACCCCGTCGCTTCGTCCCCACTCACTAAAATATTCGGGGGCCAGCTGCGTTCGGAACTGCGAGTCACAGGCTTGAAAGATTCCGTCACCCTCGAGCCTTTCCAGCCCCTACAGCTTGACATTGGGTCGCCCCAAGTCCGCAACATCGTCGATGCCCTCAAAGGCCTGACGAAACCCGAAATCCTAAATGGTAACTTCGGCTCTCCCAGGGGTAAGGATGCCGTGGCTACAAAGCAGGTTTTCCTCGAGTCGCTTCCACCGGTTTTAATCCTACATCTGAAGCGTTTCCAATTCGATGCTGAGGGGACTGGAACTGTCAAGATCTGGAAGAAGATTGGCTACCCTCTGGAACTCGAGCTTCCGAAGGAGATCTTCTCAAGACAGAAGCGAAATGCTTTCGTTGCTGAAGGTGCTGGGTTCCCGAAATATAAACTTATTGCAGCTGTTTATCATCACGGGAAAAACGCAAGCGGTGGCCATTACACCGTCGACCTCAGACGGCAGGACGGGCGAGAATGGATTCGTCTTGATGACACAATCATTCGACGTGTGAGGAGTGAAGATGTAGCTGAAGGGGGTGTCGAAGAAGATGCGAAGGCGGCTCCGGCGACGGAATACAAGAAAGACCCTGCCGCCAGCGGCTCAGGCAACAGGTTTGAGGGGATCGGGGACGACGAGGCCGGCACTGACGACGGGTGGAACCAAGTCAGTGCACCTGTCAATGGAGCGAAGAAGTGGAGCAGCGTGGTCAACGGAGCTGCGAATGCGGCGCCGTCGAAGGCAAAGCCAGCTCGGGACAATATCAAGGACAACAAAGTTGCGTACTTGTTGTTCTACCAGCGAGTCTAAAGCAGCTGGTGGTACATCTAGCGGGCGAGTGTATATCACATCAAAAGAGGTGGATGGACATAAAAGCGAGAAAGTTAGGTTGAAACGGGCGGTACAAGACGCCCTGAACAGCGTCAAACCCGATTTTGGGGCGCAAAAGCAAGCATGCCCGATACGTGCATGTCAAAATGATTTTGGTGGCGCTCCTATGGTCACCCGCTGCATAGCATTGAGCGTTAAAAAGCATCTTGAAAAGCCGGGGTAGGAAGGAAGGGAGGGAGTGGTTTGAGTGACATATGACGTGGACATGCCTCTCGGTGGTCTACGGATGTTATACTTCACGTGTTATACTTCACGATGCTACGAGGGCTACGAGGAATTACATTGTCATGTACTCAAAACGAAGCAAAGCAGAGCAGAGCACAGCACAGCAAAGCAAAGCAAAGCAACACGAAACAAAACGGCATTTATGTGGGGGTTTAGGGCATGAGTGTCAGTGTCGGAGGAGGTCGGATACCCCCGGATATCTTCGACCTCTTACAGAAAAAGAAAAAGAGCAAAAGTATCTGATACACATAGCCCTGGCTTCTTCTACTAGAGTAGTAGTAGTATTGGTAGTAAGTAGTAGTACTTGTAGCAGTACCTTCGAAAAGGAGGAGTTCAAAATATGCCTTGGTCTATGTATGTTGTAGACGAGTTTTTATAGCAAAAGTTGGGAGACGCGATTGGTGAAAGCTGATTAAGTGCCTAGATATGATGATATGATGCCTTTGGAGCTCCTTAGACTCTTGCAGGTGTATGGTATAGAACATGAGACCAACCCTGCTACAGCTACGGATCCTATCTTATTTAGATGTCCGAGTAATCAGACATCATCGTTCCTAGGTGTCTATCTACCTGCCTATCAAGCCTACCTCTCAGCTCGATTGTGAAAAACGGTAAAGTTCTATTGGGACGCTACAGCAGGCAGAGACTTATCTGATTTGGGATTCCTGCACGAAGGACAAGGACCGAATAATACTCCTGAGGCATATTGCTGATTGGATCATAGGCGACATGAAAAATGTAGTAAGGCAAGTCAGATAAGCGTACTAGGTAACTAACTCGCTTGCCACACGGCGGCACGGCACATTACCATGGTACACATGCACTCAGTCAATGGTCAGAATGTTTGTTAAGTATGCTAGCGACTAGTATAGTTAGCATACCCAAGTGAACTATCTACCTAGGTAGGCAAGTATATGCTATCATAGTGTACATATACTATAATATCTCGACTTTTTCTCAACCAGCTGAATCAGCCTAGTCTCATCCGGCAAAGCAACCAGCAAAGCAACGGGCGCTTGGTCTAGGGGTATGATTTTCGCTTCGCACTATCCCTCCTGTTCCTCACAGGATTCGTGCGCCTATGTGAAAGGTCGTGGGTTCAATTCCCACAGCGTCCAGACGACTGCTACAACCAGTTCTTTTTTTGTCTTTTCTTCTTTGCTTCTGATTTCGTTAAGAGCAATCCCCTCTTTACTTTTTCTTTCAAGTAGGGATTGATGCAATCAAGGACCAGGCAGAATAAACAGTTTTCGGCTCGTTTCTTTCTACTGGTGAGGGAACTTGTAGCTGTGAGGTATCTGTGAGTAATCGCTGCATATATTATTGTCTTGCCTTATTGGGTATTCGTGGAGTTGTGGTTTCTGCTGCAGTCCTTCTAAAGTTCGACGCAGTAGTAAAGAGACCGAATAAATAGGGCTTCTCGCCCCCAAATCTCATGCAAGCAAGCATCCGTCCATTATGGGATCTGCACAGCATGTCACTTTCACGTAGATTTCCACCTGGAATGCCATCATACCACCATACACAACCGTCACACACATCTCGATTCGATACGGTAGAGAATGCCTGTCCTCTTTCGGCTCTTGTTTGAATAGCGAAAGATATAGATTTATGATATAATATGCCGTTCCTACCATCCATCCCATGCATGTATGCTACGCTACATAAGTGCCTTGGGGCAGGTGATGTATCTACTTTAACCTAACCCAGCACTTCTGACACGTCCGGACCTGTCCTGTCCTGTCCCATGTATATATGTATGTATTACCTTATAGCCCGTCCCATTTTACTCCTTATTCGCCAGCGCCCACCTGTCTTGTAACTAACAACGGGGAAATGCGTTTAACGACAGCAACGAACACCTGAACCCCGACGATAATCCCCTTCCAGCCTGCCTACTACCCGAGGCCGCGAGCAAGCAACAATGGCGAGCCACGCAGACAAAGCAAGTATTATGTATCCACGCCCGCCATGACCCAGGCGCCTGCCTCTATCTACCATGCATGCAGGCACGGCTCTATCCATCGCCCAAACCCATCCCATTCAACTCACTCATCCCGAAACAGCCACCGCCCCCCAGACCGCATAGCCTCGCGGTAGCGCTCCTGCACCATCTCGGCCTCCATGCGGCGGCCCTGCGCTCGGTCGTCCTCCAGCTGCTGCGTGCTGGGGAACTCGGTGCGCCAGAAGCCCGGGGGCGAGGCCATGCGCTGGTAGCGGTGGCGGCAGCGGCCGTGGCGGTCGGCGAGCTCGCGCGTCTTGGCCTCGAGCCAGAGGGCCTCGCGCTCGTCGGGCGCCATGGCCGGCAGCCGGCCGAGCGCGGCGTCGTCGCCGCCCAGGTACGACGCCAGCAGGGCCTGGAACTCGACCGGCCCCGTCAGGGGCCGCTCCGCGCGCGCCAGCGCTCGGAACTGCGGCCCGCAGCAGGACTCCCGCACGCAGCCTACGAGGCCGCGGGCCCGCTCCGCTTGGTTCCGCACCACGTCCGTGAACGCGTAGTCGTACCCCTCGTTCGCTGCTGGGTTCACTTTGAAGTCGTCGAGCCGCAGCTGCGAGAGGCCTCGGTCGCGCAGCGGGGTCCTATCCTTAGTGGCGGCAGCGCTGGTGCCGGTGCCGTTTCCGGTGCCGTTTCCGGTGCCGTTTCCGGTGCCGTTTCCGGCGTTGTTGGCGTTGGCGTTGGCGCTGCCTCTGTTGGCCCGCGTGGTGGCCGGCGGTGGGTTGATAGTCTTGTTGACACCATCATCACCGCCACTATCCATGTGATCACCGCCGCCGGCAACGGACTTGCTTTTCGGCTGGTCTGTTGTGGTGATCCGCTTGGGCGTAGGCCGGGTTGGGCTCTTAGCCCGTGGCAGGTTCTCACTCGCTCCCAGCGACCGGCCTTTGCTAAAAGGGAGGTCACGTTTTGGCGGCACTTGTAAGGCTATGTCCTTCAAAGCTAGTCGTGGCTCGGAGTTGGTCAAGTTTCGGGGCTCCGTGGTGGCCGACGGCGCGTTGCCAGCATCCCGTTCTGCGGGTGGGACGTTCAGAAGGTCACGTAGGGCCTTGCTAGGCCGTTGTCCTCTACTCAACGATCTCGAGGTCCTTGATGCTTGATATTGGTCGTCATCTTCAGCAAGGCTATCGAGTCCTTGCTGGACTATAGCAGGACTAGCGCTTTTTGCCTTGGAACCTCTGCGTTTTTTATCTGGAAGGACATTTACATCTGAGGGTCGCGGGGAAGTGTACTCCGTGGCTAGTGGGTGCGTTGGATCGGCCTCACGTCTATTGCCGGGCCTATGACGAGGTCTACTACTGTCAGACACCAATTTGTCTGCTTGTCGTAGTTCTGGGATGACTTTTCGCGACTTAGATGAACGCTCATCTTGATTGCTCTGCGGCATTGGATGCAAGGCACTGTACTGTAGCTGTGGAGCTTCAGCTGTGTCCTCAATACCGCCCTCTTGTAAATGCTTAAGCCGGTTCTTTCTTGGTGTTTGCACGCGAGGTACTTCAGCATCAAAGTCCATGCTTTCCTGAGGTGCGAAGTGTCTCCCCTCGAAAGCTATCGGGTCGGAGTCCTCTGTTTTTACCCGTGTTGAAGCGGGCTTGTGTTCGGTCTCGTCATTCTCTCGTCTTCTTTTCCGCACTGGACGCTCAGATACTACGACTGGTAGATCTGAGGATGGTTCCTGCTTGATTTTGATCGCATTTTGCAGACCGTCACGATTCTCGGGCAAAGGGGGTAGAGATGGAGAGTCCTCCAAACGGGGAACTTCTATTGTAGATGCTTGTGTAGAATCTCCCTCTAAGCTCTTCTGTCCAGAGTTCTGCCGGTTTATCATAGGTGGAATTTGTCCTGTCCCGCTTCCTAAAGGACCACGGTCGAAATTCCTGACATCTGTGACCGATTCAATCCCAGTTAGCCCACCTTGAGTGCTATTCTTAGTAGCTTTCGGGTGAGGTGTGCGTAACGCACGCTCAATTACGGGTGGCACCTTGTCAGACGTGTCTGAAGAGAAGCTGGCTGCATACCCAGCATTGTTTCCACCGATGGAACCTAGTTGAGTCTCTAGCCTTTTTATTTTGCGAAGGCGTTTTTGGCTCTGCGCATTGAGCTCGTTCGCATGTTTCATCCATTGTTCGATGTTCTTGATCTTTTCTCGAAGACGGTGATCCAGTTCAGTCCGTGCATCCATAGCCTCCAGATACTTCTCGTGTAGCTTTTGATGGTTACCTTCTAATCTTAGGTACTCCTCTCTTATTTCAGGCAACTTCAGTTTATCAAGGTCGGGTCGTTCGAATTTCGGCAACCGCTTGACAGGGGTAATTTCGTTGGTAGATCTTGGTGCCAGGGGTGTTCTCGTGGTGCGTCTGAGAGAGGGAGTAGAAGTGGCATTTTCTTGGTTTGTAGATAGAAACCTCTCGTTGGTAGCTTTTATTTTCTGGATTTCTTCTCTGAGCAACTGGTTCTCCTCCTGTAACCGATCTACACTTGCTGCCTTAGTCCTCAGCGGCTCCAACTCGGCCTGAATATGTGCATTGTCCCGAATCAATTGTGCGATATCTGCTCAGATATTGTGTTAGTAATCCCCCTAGGTGATATTCATGAATATCTCCGGGCTAAACGCACTGCTGTCAAAATCATTGCCCACTCGGTCACATGCTGTCGTGAAGGCTTCGAGCAAGGCCGGCCTGCCCACATCCTTGAACCAGCTCTCCATCCGGTAGTCGTCTGTTCACATGCTCAACAGGGCGTATTTCTAACTGTAGCTCATCGGAGAGCTAGGCAAATTTTGGACTGTTGCGTGGACTGGGCTGGCCTGGTCTGGAATATAGCGATTGTAGAATATTACGAGCAAGACCATCAATATTGTGTCTAACAACTCATTATGACGGGGAGACACATGTGGTGATGGTGATGGTGGTGGTGATGGTGACTGTGACGGTGACTATGACGCGCTTTCATGTACGTGGGGAGCTAAACTGGGGTTCGGGCGCGGTTGCCTTATCGACGATCATCAATCCGCCTATACACACCGGACAGAAACGATATACACACCGAACATTAACCGCATTTGGTAAGGTTAGCGCATTAGCCACCCGTGCCATACCTTAAGCCACCTTTAAGCCTGGCACCCTTTAAGTCATTCCCTAACATCCACCACTTATTACCTACCTACATACCTACTTATTACACCTGCACCTATACATACGCCAACGCCGCCATTACGTAGCGTTGCAGTTGCGGGTTAAGTCCCGTATAAAAATACGGGTTAGTTAGGGTTAGGGTTAGTTTAGGGTTAGGGTTAGGTCCGGGGGGTTTAAAGGGACGGTAAGAGTCCCCCCATTTGGATATATATGTGGTGTATTAGGTAATGTGTTAAGCTGTGAGATAGGTGGTGGATGGGTGATGTGGAGTGCGTCCAAATGCGGTTAATGTCCGGTGTATATATCGTTTTTGTCCGGTATGTATAGGCGGATTGGACGATCATCGCGCTTCAATAACTAAGAGAGTTCTTAAGCTGATTGCAATTGCACTTACGAATATAGTCCCGCTAACTATAGGTAGTTACATACAATATGCAGATGGTCTGTGCAATCGGGACCCCGGATCTACTCAACCCCACTTGATCTGCCCTTTTAAAGGTCTATAAGGGTATGTAGGTATTCCCACCACCCCTCATCAGCTGCTCGATCTAAGGCAGCTTCTCACCTATACCTACTAGCAGCTGTCTAGGTATTGCTGTCCATCCAGTATGACAACTGGAAGTACGGAACCCCTTTTATTTTATCACACGTCCCTCTTACATTCCATGATAGGTAAACTGATGTTAGGCTGAATGGTAAGGTTGGCCAGGCGGTCAAGTTTCGGTTTCTGCAGGGACCATCGTATGAATAAACCCATGGCTGTCATGCCTGTAAAATCGTTCGGACGGCTGTCTTCCGCTTGGCTAGATGAAAGGTTATATTGCAGTCATTATATGTAGATAGGTATGTATTGCCGGCGTAACTGGATCTTCTCGTCTTCAGGACTTGCCACCCAAAAGCTTGTCCTGATAGGTTGGAGTCAGGTCCGTTTGAGATCCTCCGTCAACGATGATGCCTGGTAGGCGTAAGTATAACCATCATTTGGATA